GAAAAAAGCGATCGCAACTGGCGATCCAGGAGGTTGACCCCCGAATTCGGTTGAAACCACATGGTGCCAGGTTTGTTCAAACACCAACTTTTTACCTCTGAGAGTTTCCCCTTTTGGTCAACTTTTAGAGGTGCTTCTCAAGGCTTTCGCAGCTTTTGTCTGGGTCCTTTGGTTTTTGAATCGTGGGGCTTGACCAACTCTCTGCGAGAAACAAAAAACACACCGCGCCACCTGGCTCCGAATGGCTGATGTCTTCAAGTTGCCTGCGGGCTCTGATCTGACCTGACCTCCAGCAGATTGACCAGGGGCAACCAGCCTGCGAGGCTGAAGGTCAGGGAGTGTCTCAAAGAGATTCGACCCCCCATCCTCCCCCCCCTCCCCCCGCTCCCCCCCCCGCAACCAAACCAAAAGAACGAATAGAATGGAAATATCATTGGGATGGTTTCCTTTTGGTCTCCATTGTTCAACACAAACTCGCACACACACACACACACACACACAGAGACGGAATTAAAACCCGAATCCCTTCGTCAAACTGCTGGACGCCAGTATTTAGGAACCGATTTTGCGAGCTGTAGGCTTCACTCGCGCTTGGACAGTCGCTTGCCAGTGACTGCCTTGCAGTTTCTGTCGCTGGTACCCAAAGAAACGCCCATGCCTGCGCTGTACAAAGCCCCAGCGGGCGTGACATCTTTTAGTTTGGGCCCCAGGGGACATCCATGGGAAACTTCTTGGATGTGCGGCTTTTGTTCGCATTTGTTTGTGGTTTTGATTCGGGAAGCTTGAAACCAAAAGGAAGGCCGCTTCTCTTTTCCGGGGGGCGCGTGGTTCCCCCGAAAAGCGTTCCGTCGACGCCCATCTGATTCAGACTGTTCCCCAGAGCTCAGCGTCGACGGCATCTCCCGTCGATGTCTTCCATTGTTCCAGGGGTTGATTCCAACCATACGACACCATCATTCTTTGCGCAAACCGGAGCTGTTTCCCCAGGGTTTTGGGTGTTTTTTTGGAAAGAAGGATGCCTGGAAAGAATGGAATTGGAAGGTACCCCTAGAATTTTTGCAGTAAAGTTCCCAAAAGGTTAACCTTTTTACTTGGTCCGTTTTACTAGGTACCTTTAGGAATTGGAAGGTACCCCTAGAATTGTCATCTTTTTCCCGGCTGTCCAGGCTTTCGCTCGACCTCTCGAGACGGCAGGGCTGGTCACGGCCGGTCCTGCCGCACCCAAAGACGAAACCAACGGGGGACAAAACGAGTTCTTCGATGTGCGAAATGGCCATGGGTGAAAACCCAAAACGTACCCCCCAGTGAACATCCCAATCCCCACTAAAATAGACTAAAATGGGTGGTGCACCTACCCCAAAATGGTACCATTGCTTTTGACCCACAGCCAAATAGAGAAACAAGGATCTTTGTTGACTGCACAAAAATCTTGGGAGTGTCACTATGAGCCACAACCTAGCCTGTTCAATGCGTTGGGAATATGGATGAATGAACCTGGTAATCGTACACTCTTATGATCATGGCTAGTTTTAAATCACCCCACAAGCAAATTTCAAAGTCATTGAGGCCATGCTCACGGCAGAACCTTCTGTGTATTGCCTTTGGGTGCCAAGTCAAATGCCCTGACAAATGGCTCTTTGAATCTCAGCCGCGCGACTGGTTGGCAAGAGACGTTTGCATCCAACGCGAGCTTCTGGGCGCAGGTCCATGGACGAGAGGGAGGGAGGGAGAGAGAGAGAGACTGGAAGAAGGGAGGGAGAGAGAGTGTCATGATTCATAATATATTCACTGCGTGCATACAGAGAAAGATCCCGGGAACCATGCACATCTGGCTATATCGCTGTTTTCGGGGAGCGTGCTGGGGCTGGTTGTAAATGAACAACACTGTTCTGCACTCCTCGAGGCCCACATAGCACAAAGCTAACACTTACAAGGTTGTTTTCCGTGATGACCACTTGTCATTCCACCATGGGCTCATTGCCACGAGAAAATCGTGTTCGACGGAGTTTGCGGCCGGTCGCGGGGCCATCGGAACTCGCGCAATGGGATCCACGTGTGTCGTCCCCCCAGAGGGCTGGGACGGGCTCGGGGCTCGTTCTCTCTTCACTTGGTTGGCGGCAGTTGCCGAGAGAGTGGGGCCAAAGGGCCCCAAAAACCGGCGGCGGACACGCGCCTTTCTTTGGTAGCCTCTGTTGCTCAGTGCCGCCCTTTTTCCCCCTTCTTACCTCTTAAAAACACAACTTTTCAACTTTTTGGGTAACATGGGCTATATGTTTGTAAAAGATTAACTCCCCAGGGCTTGGAGTTTTAAGGGGTAAGTCTTTCTCTGGGCAAGGGTCCCCCTCTAGACTCAACCGACACAAAAAGCGCCCTTTCTTTCTTTTCCAATGGCCACTGGGCATTTGAGTAGCGGAGGTCGGCATCTCCTGAGTTGGGCTTGTCTCAAAATTAGTGGGAGTCGCCCACTGGGCGTTCCAGAAGGTGAGTGTTTACCAAGTAGAAAAGAAGAACTGTGGGCTCCAAATGGAACTCCCAACTTGGGTCCCCCTCTAACTTTAACGACCCGAAGGGTAACCTTCAAAGGAAACAACTCCATCGTCACAATCAAACCTGATACTGAACGCGTCAACCCGTGCACTTGAACATCATGTGAGCCCCGGTCAAAATTGTTTGTTTCCCTGGAGGACGGGGGACATTTAGTGAGTGTCCCAAGTCCCCAGATCGACTAATGGGTGTGTCCTGATTTTCGCGGGCCGGTGCCTTTTTTGTATCTCAAAGAGAAACCAAAAGGAACCTTTCCTGAGTTGGCCTTATTTTTTGCTTTTTTGGGTTTGGACCATTTTAGTGGCAAACAAGAAGTTTGGCCAGTCCAGCCTTGGTGTGATTTGTTGACCACGTGTTCCCCTTTGTCAGCACCTTCGGCCCATGGATCTCAGAACCCCGAGAACCGGGGGGGCGTCCTATGCGTTTTGAACACGGACAACGATTAGCTTCGGTTTGCCTATAGGTTTCCCTGTAAACCAGGGTAAGAAAGCAGGGCACCTTAAAAGATACATTTTGCAACCATTTGAAACATGTGGCTTTTTCAACACCAAAAGAAAGCATTTACAAGGCAATCTTCAGGTGTCTAATGTGAGGATCCATCCCTGGAAAGGGTGAAACCAACACCCACATGTCCTTTTTGACCACACCACGGCGGTTCCAGCTTTTTGTTTTTTCGGCGGCGCGTGTCCTCGTTTTGGCAGCTGCCAGTCTCCCGCCGTGAAGGGTTTCGTGGCGCGATGATCGGATCGGCTCGAGTTGGACCGAGCAGTTTGGTTGATGCAGACCGCCCGCTCCGGGGCGAACGGCCCGGATTTCACTCGCGCCTTCGGCAAAACCCAACAGCTGAGTCTCAGAAGAACGCTTCGGCCCATGTGTGGTCCAAAATCGAGAAAAAGAAAAGAAAAGAAAAGAAAGAAGAACAAATACAGGTTCTTTCATTGATCCTCATCTCCTATGAGGGCTCAACATGACGGGTTGATACATGTCCAGCGGTTTCCCCTGGATAAACATAGAATAATTGTAACTACATAACCTGTGGCCCTCATGCCTTCCAGTTGATTATTATTGGAAGCTTATATAGGGGAAATCTAAAATTGCGGTTTTCCTTTCAGCTTGCCTTCAAGCCAAGGTGCAAAGGGTACTTGCTGGGTCTCAAAAGGAACCCCACAGCCGCTTTCGCGCACGTTGCTTGAATCGATCTTTGCCGAAGGCCTCCGGGTCTTATAGAGATGCGAGCTGTAGGATTCACTCGCAACTTCGCAAGGAGGGAGCTTGACGAGTTTTTTCACAGGGTCTGTCTAGGGGTTAGACCCTGAAAGCGTTGTGGTTTTCCTTTTGCCTTTAAACCGACCTGAAAGAGGATGGTTGTTGGTGGGAAACATTTTTTCGCATTTTTGCTTATTGTGGTTTAGTGGTTGAACTCCAACCACTTAACTGCTAAAATTTGAATGTTTGCTCCCCTTCGCAACGTCAACCAAGTCAAGGGGGAGACCCTGAAGGCGTTGTGGTTCTCCTTTTGGTTTGCCTTTAAACCGACCTGAAAGAGGATCAGAAAGCGCAATTGCCGTCGAGGCAGTCGGATCTTCGGAGAGCCAATTTGAGTAGCGTTTTTTTTGCCCCTCCATTACGTATGTAAAGGTACGGAATTTATTCTTTGACATTCTGAAGAAATGCGCGCCGCGCCACAGTCGCGGAAGCTTTGCGGAAGGGTTTTTTTCCGCGGAAGCTCGCGGAAGGGTTTACGGAGTATGTTTGTTTGTGCTGGCAGTGCAGCTTGTGGAACAAGCACATATGAAGCAGCTTTGTTTTGATTGAGAGACTGAGGCATGCGTTTAGAAGACTAGAGAGAACACGTGGATTGCATGATTGTGTGCCCACTTGGGTCGTCAACTAGGGTCTGCTTAGAAGTTTTTATGCAGGGTGAGGCTTCCCGGGGGGTTCTAGGATCTGTTCTGTCCTTCTTACAACCAGCTTTGAGAGGTGGAGGCGCATGTGCGGAGGCAGAAAGGAAGGTTCGACATGTTCTTGCAAGTGTGTAATGCTGGGCCAGCCTCGTTTTGTCAAAAGCAGGTTTATTGTTTCGGCAAAGGCATGAGGGCTTACACCTTCGTGGTCCACAAGGGGGTAGACCAATGTACTAGCATGGATTTGCAAGCGAAGTTCAAGTTGGTGGTTAGCTTGCGTGGAAAGACATGTTTTTCGGGGATGTTGTTTTCCTATGGAAACCCCTGTCACGCGCCCAAGCCACCAAACTGGACAAGGGCGCTCAACTCCGTGCCATTGGCTTGTGTGGCCGGCCGCATGCTGGCACAGGGCTGCGCAACAGGCATCGGGCCACCCACGCTCATGGAACATAGACATGGAAGAGCAGGCAAGAATAGGGCCAATGAGGATTCTCCTTTCTTTAAACTGCGGAGGGTTTGCAACTGTAGGTTACCTCCCTAGATATGTCGCCAATGTCCGCGCCAGAGCCTGAAGTTCCAAAGCTGTGTGCTGTCCGAGGGTGTATTGGGAAGTTGCTGCGGAAGGAAGCCCAGGGCACCATCCAGTTGCACTGCCTGGCGGCAGCTCATCATCGTGGGTGGCTGGTCCAAGATGATCGTGAGCTCAAGTGGGAGTTCAGCACCCGCGGGAAGCGTTGGCTGAAAGGAGAGGCAGTCCAAGCTCAACGGGGCGGCGCTCCTTTGGAGGCGAGAGGGATGCGAAGTAGGTTTGTCCAGGACTGTCCATCGGGCCAAGCTTTGTTTTCTTATTGACGGGAAACAAATTTGGCTTCACCTCTTAGACAACAAGGGCGTTGTTTGGGCTGGGTCTCGAGCTTCCCACACAATGTTCGGTTGTCGTTTCCATGCTCCTGGAGGCCAAGCAGAAGCCTTCAGAGCCAGACGGGGACGCTTCTTTGTTCGCACTGGTTGCTCCGCCTGGAAACCCTCAGTCTGGAGCTTCCAGGCTCAGACAGCATCATCTTTTGTTTGGGCTGTCGCCTATGTGTGTGTGTGTGTGTGCGGGGCCGTTGCCCGGAATTGCTATCCTAGGTAGTGGAGGACCCAACTCTGGCGGCTCTTCAGGCGGACCCAGCCAACCCGCCAGCGGAGGTCGCAGAGACAACGAAGCCATTGGAGCCAGCGGAGCCAGCCGCGCAGCCCCTTCAAGCAGAACGCTCTTCCTCGGCATTACGCTCACACGCAGCGTCTTCCGCAGCGGCTGTTCTCAAGGTGGTGGAGAAGGAGGTCATGACCCTGGAGAAGGCCGCTGCTGCCGCGGTTCCAGAAGACACTCCGCCGGAGAAGCCGAAGCTCAACTTCGGTGGCAAGACGGAGCGCGTGGCCACATGCCGCCTTTGTGAGGAAGCTCGCACTTGGGCGCAAAAGGGGTCTTTTTGTGAGTACTGCACGGGTGCGTTCCGTCGTGCTACAGGCCACCAGCGCCTTCACATACTCTTTGAAGACCAGCATTTGGCAGAGTCCGTGCGACAGGAGAGTAAGACAAAGCGTGCTGAAGCTGAAAATGCTTCGCCGCCTAAGAAAGGGCTGGAAAAGAAGCTCGAGGAGTTCCTGCGCCGCTTCGAAGAGGTTCTGCCACAGTTGGAAGCAGCAGCTCGCCATTTTGAAAGTTTGTTGGAAGCCGGGCCGCCTGCGAAGAAGCGCAAGCATTGATCCTGGCTCATTTATAGATGTGCTTGTCTCAGGGTTTATAGCCTTGTGGCTATGTTCTAGGGGATCTTCGGGGTACAAACTTGACAGGCCGTGGTGCGAGTCAAAAAAGGGACCCAGGATGTGCCAGCTAGCGGGGGAATCAAATACTTTTGTTTCTGCGGGCCCTTTCTTACTATGGGCAAGTTTAAAGGGGTGCAAGAAGGTAAGAAGAAGAGTTTGCCCCCCCTAGCTTGTCACATGCCGAACATCGTTCAAGCGAGCTGCAGCTTGCAAGCAGCGCAGCAAGTCCAGCATGGGTCTTCATTTTCTGCAGCAAGCCGCAGTGTCATTCGCAGGCTGACGCCATTTCCGGCTTTAGCTTTTCACCCCAACCGGGTGTAGCGGTGCAGCCTCACAAAGTCAAACGACAAAGGTGCCCCTGCATTGATCAGGTTTTAATAAGCACTTGCAACCTGCAACAACACGAGCGCCTGCAACAACACTTGCATGTTCAGCCTGTGTGTGTGTGCGTACGCGTGCGTGCGTGTGAAAGAGAGACGTGTGCGTGTGTGTGTGTGTGTGCGTTTCAGGTAGCAGTAGGGAACCCAAAAACAGAATCCCAAACGCGGATTTTCGCGGAAGCGCCGCGGAAGCTTCGCGGAAGGCCCGCGGAAGGGGCCCCCGACCTTTCCCACCAGTTGCCCTTTCGTAGGCCGCCAACTCGACCACTCTCCACACAGCATGGGCGCAAAAGCGAAGCCATGGCGTGAGCTTGGCGCAAGGCAGCGCCGCATCGTCGCCAACGAAGCCTGCCGCCTCTTACTTCAACGCAGTCGTGACCCTGAGGATGTCCAAGAGATGTTCAACCTGAGGTGGTAGAGGAGCTTACGGCGAACTGCAGCGATCTCCGCTTGATCCTACAGCGGGATGCTGCCCAGGACACAGCCTGTGGCCTGCTACTAGAGCAGCTGGGGAAGCTACGAGCAACGGTCCCCGCCAGCACAAACCTTGACGTCCCCGTCATCACACTCACGCAGTTGGACTCTGCTGTCACCAAGGTACCCTTGCCGCAGGAGGCCCTCACCGCAGCCGGTTACACCCTGACCAAGCATAGCGCAGCTGCTGCCGCGGAAGGCCCAAAAAGTCAACAGCGCAAGCGAGGCCGCCGCACAAAGGTGAACAGCGTTGAGATGGTCAGCTTGGTCCGCCGTGTGCTTGCCCCACACTTGCAGGACACCGAGCGGGTAGCAGTCGTTGGCCGCGGTAGGAACAAGAAAATGGTCGTCGCCCAGCACTTGCGGAAGAAGCGCTACCGAGTCTTCCTTGAGGAGCCAGAGCTTCACGAGTCCATGTCGTGGTCCACCTTCCACTCCATCATGAAGCGACACTTCCCTCACGTGAAGAACCCCATGAGGCAGACGGACATTTGCGAGCACTGCAAGCATTTGGAGCGTCACTTGCTCCCAGCAGCTCAGAGGGCCTTGGCCAAGCACAGGCTTGAGATCGAAGAGTTCTCCCAGCAGTATTTCCACCCCTTCGACAGCAGCGACAATTGAGAACAAGGAGAAGACTGACAAGTTCCCCTTGTTGGCCACTTCTTTGGCATTCGTGCAGCAACAGAACTTCAACGCCGCCAACTCCAGAGAAAGGCAAGCGCTTGGGCTTGCCACCCGACTTGCTCTCCACAGTGCTGAAGCGTCTGCCATCCACACCCTGAAGGGGCATGTGGAGCTGTTGGAAGCTTACCGCTGGCACCAAACCTCTGCAAGGCGGCAAGAAGCAGCGTTGGAACAGCTTGCTTCAGGGGAGTCGCTGCCTGCTTCCGCTGTCCTCCTGCAGATGGATTTCAAGGAGAACGTGAGATACCCGCTCAGTCGCCCAGCTTGTCTTAGCAGTTTTCTCTTAGGCAAAGTAAGCTCAGTCTGTCATGTGGCATGTTGCGTGTTTCCAATGGCCTCCCTAGCAAGGTGCGCAAGAGACAGGAGACGAGTGGCACGCGCAAAACAAACTGTCTCTCACCGTGTTTGGGGTCTTTGCGCGGGTGCCCACACGCACGGGAACACACGTGGACGTGTACCTCCTCTTAATCTCGGAAGTTTTGGACCATGACGCTCAGGCCGCCAACATGTTGGTGAATGAGGCCATTGCTCTTCTTCGACGTCATCCTGGCACACACTGGCCTGCAGTCAAAAAGCTCATCCTTGCCAGTGATGTCGGACCGCACTTTCGGTCGTACGAAAACGCGGCCCATTTCTTGTGCACGCTCGTGCCTTTGCTGCAAGTGCTTCTACGCTATTTAACGATTTGCCTAAGGTCGTTTTGCTTTGTCTCATAGTTGCTTCCCTGCCTCTGTGACAGCGCTAGGTGAAAGTTCTCAACGTGGAAGTCGAAGTGCTCTACCTGGCTGAGCATCACGGAAAGGGAGCTTGCGATAGGCTCTTCGCTTGGACTCGCATGTGGGTGTCCCGGTTCATCCAGAAGCACCCTATTTACAACCTGCGGGATCTCACGCAGTGCTACCGAGAAGGCGCGGCTTCGAGGATAGCCGACGACCCGACCACGCCAGCCATCCTTGTCTCAAACTTCGACCCTGGCCGCTTCCGACCAACGAAGCGGAGCTTTCTGTCCGCCGCCACGCTCAAAATTTCACGAACCTACAGCCTGGTAGCCACCTTGGACCGTCATGCCGCGCCTGGTGTGCGCATCGTCAACCATGTTTTCACGGATTTGAGGCAAGGGTCGAGGGTCCTGCCCTGCCACGTGGATGAGGTGGTGTCGGAGGAGAAGGTGGAGTGGCGGCGCGGATACTACGACAAGCCGCGCTCCTGGGAGCAAGCAGGGCCGGAGCCAGGTGATGTTAACCACGTCACCCGGCGCTTTGCTGCGCAAAAGACCTTCCTCCCAGACAGAGAGGTTGCTCCAAAACGAAGCCTTGAAGAGAAAATGTCAGCCAAGGCCAAGCAGCTCAGCAAGCACGCTGCCAAGAAGAAGCGGCAGCTGGCGCACCTCAAACGTCGACTTCGTCCTGCCGAGGCTGAAGGCTCGTCCTCTTCTGCAAGTAGCAGCAGCAGTAGCTCCTCAACCTCCTCGGAGAAAGCCTAAGCGCTTTCCACCGCACGGTCGCGCTCTAGTGGAAAAGCGTCGCAGCCCGCGTCTTGCCGTGACGAACGCTTGCCAGTCGTCAGCAAAACCAACCGACAAGCAAGCAGGCAGGCAGGCGCGCAAGCAAGCGAGCAAGCAAGCAAGGGCCAGCAAGCAAGCGCGCAAGCAAACAAACAAACAAACAAACAAACAAACAAGCAAACAAGCAAGTAAGCAAGCAAACGCGGAAGCAGCAGGTTCGAAAACTATGCTGAGACTGTGGTCGCGGAAGCGAAATGCTTCCGAATGTTGTAAACTCATGTCCGCGGAGGCTCGCGGAAGCGATTTTTCTATCAAAACGCTTCGCGGAAGGTACCCCTGCAGGCCGCGGAAGGGTTGGCGGAAGGTCGAATAATTTCAAATGAATTAGAAGGGAATAAAAAACACCACTCACATGTGTTTGCGCAATTGCAGGCCAACGAAAGCATGCAATCAGGCAGCTGGCAGGTGCATCTCTGTCATGGAACGTGTGCTGAAACCGTTGTTTCTTCAGCTCACTACTTCCGTGGCTGCAGGCCCTGTTACTTGCCCTCTTGAAAGAAGCCACCTTTGGGCTGCCTTCGGAGTCGGCTTAATTTACAGCAGCCCATGACTTCTGCGCGTACCCGAATAAATGCCCTGGCAAGCTTCTTGGCTGTTCGAGACGCACCAGCCGAGCAGCAAAAACTGTGCGCGGGTCTCTTCGCTTGGAAAGCCGCCCCTTGCCGCTCTTGGCGGCGGGCCCAGAATCCGGCGATTGATCTGCTCCCTATGGCATAATCCATAACAACACAAAATCCGGGCTAGGGTAGTTTCCACAGACTTTCTAGTCGGCCAAGCAATTGGTCGTTTGGGACTCGGCGTCGTTTGGGACTTGAACCCGCGTCGGGTCATTGTCTTCCAGGATGCAGAATCCTTTTGGTGGGTCTTCCCTCTCAAGGCTGGAAGCCAAGCTGGTGTACATAGAAGCAGCAGCTACGCCATTCCAACGAGAATTCCGGACTTGACGCCACATGAGCATTCTACCACGGCCAACCCCAGCAACTATCAAAATGCTGCGGGCACCAGTGTTGTAATTCAGGGTGCCCTTAGGCTTCACATACCCTCTGTCCAGACCTTCGCCCTTCGCCCTGTAAGCGCCAACTGTTGCCCTTTTGGCAGCGCGGGCTCTGGCCTCCCCAGTAAGATTGGCCTTGAAGAATTTCCCATCAATTGCAGCATCAAGACGTTCTGCCCACCAGCGTACTGACTTGGACTTGTATTTGCGCGCAAATGCCAGCCGCGCTTTCACATCAGCATTTGTCAAAAGCGGTTTTTCTCGAAGTCTCCGAAAGTACACTCCTTCCTTGTGCAAGGCCCGCTGGATGCTTTTGACTGACTGTTTCAAATTGCATGCTTCTTCAACATGGCAGCATCACTGTGTAGCGAGCATCTGCTTCCTGCACCTATCTGTAGCTTTTCCGCTTCAAGAACGCTACATTGGCAGGAGTAAAGCGGAAGAGGCCGCCCCCTGGGCGCTTGGCGCCCAACTGCTTCACCAAAAGCCGGGTGATTACAGACTTGTCCCTGCCAAGCTTGTCCTGCTATTTCTTTAACGAGGATTTCACCATCTTCATAACCACTCCGACGCCAACGAAACGCCTCAGTGGACAGCTTGGTCCAGCCAGCTTCTGCAATGGCTTAACTCAAAGGACTGTTCAAACTACACCACAGCCACACAGCTGTCAAGAACAGGAGCAACTCCTGCAAGGAGACACTTGCAGAGATGTGCGCTGCGTGTTGCACTTCTTCTGTCTTCCAGTGTGAGCGCGCACGCATGTGTGTGTGTGTGTATGTGTGCTCTCTGTGTGTCCGGCGCGCTCTCGTTCTACACAAAAACTTGACCAACCCCGACATGCGCGCACACACACACACACCAATGGCAGACGAGTGAAGGTGGGAGACTCAGATGTGTTGTGTTTCAGGCTCTTCAATCATTTGGAGAAGCATGTGGGTGACAAGCAGACGCAGACATTTTGTTTTTCAGGATCTCTGTCTCATTGGAGAAACATGTGGATGACAAGCAAAAAGCTCTCCGTGAGACGGTGGGTGGACAGAATCCTGCACCACCATCGCAGCATTGGGTTGCACGCCCTCGCGCTCCCTTTTTAATATTGGGGGCTGAAAACACGCTGAAGGAAAAGAAGTTGAATGGACGAAATCCTGCACCACCTTTACAGCCCATCAAAGCAACATTGAATATGGGGAGCGGGGGGTCCTTCTACACCCTTGTTTAACTCGTTGATTTAAGTGGTGCAGGATTTCGTCCACCCACAGTACCCCGCTAAAGGTGCAGCATCTGATCAGACAGGTTTTGCAATCCGAGAACGATGTGTCACGAATTTGAAACGCGTTGAACCATTGGCAACCGTTTTGCGAATTTGAAAAGTGTTGAATTAAAGTCCATACCGGAGCACCATATTTGAAAAGCACCGAGCACACTCAGCAATATGCTTGCTAGAGGGAGGCAAGGGCTTGACAAAGCGGTAGATCTTGAGGCGTCGGAGGAGCATGGTGTGCTCGGATGGCACGCCTTGTGCCCTGGCCACTTCTGCTTGGGCAATAATGGGCCCCAAGTCTTTCTCCTTCACGGTGACGAAGAGCGGAGCCGTGCCTTCGTAGAGGAGATGGCTGCTGTTCTGTGGACGAGGGAGCGGGAAGGGCTTGCCCTCGTACCACAGCAGCTGAGTTGCCAGCGGTAGCACCTTCTCGTCGAAGCACCAGTCATCTAAGATGACAATCCGCTTGCTCTCGAGGCCAAGGAGAGGGAAAGAACCACGCTGCGGAGTGGCCTGCGCATGCCCAGTGCCATACACCTCTCGAAGGGGAGAGAGCAAGAACGACTTGCCTTCCCCTCCAAACCGCCCCATCAGCACAAGGACCGGCACATCTGGCCGCCGGCCAGCTTGCAGAAGCTTGAGGACGTCCTTGCACCAAAGCTCTGGGGAAATGTTGTTGGAGACAAAAGCTTCCAAAGCTCGTGGTAGCCACTCGCCACCGCAGGCGCATTGCGAAGCTGCAGCAGAATACAGCTGATCCATGCGAGACTTCCCGTGCAGCTCTAAGTGCTCTTCAACTTTCTCCCAGGACCAGACATCATCAATCAAGGAGGGCAGCTTGGCCCTGTTCTTGAAAGCGAAGGCCACGAGTGCGGGGCTACCATGGAGCTTCAGGTACGCGATCAACCTGGAGCCTGCAGTGGCCCGCGGCTCTGGCTTCCCAGTTGCAGCTGCCTCCTTGACTTGTGCTCACGGCGACGGGCAAGGGCCGCTGCGGTGATTGGCTCCTGGGACGCCTCAAAGAGGGAAGGGTGCTGGCCTGTCCTTGACCAAAATCGGGGCTGTGGGTCAAGGTCTGCTTGACCTTTCTTAGTGCTGGGCATGAAGCCATAGCGCACCGCTGACCAGTATCCCAAGTGGGTGCAGCTCCAATGCGACGCCAGCCCATGGCTCACGTGCAAAGCACGCTTGAAAGGGGCAAAGCGGAAAGCTGCGAGAAGCTTTCAAAGCAATGTGCCAGTGGTGGCGGCCATCTCCGGCATGCTTCTCCCGGAAAACAGTCACGCTTTCAAGCGCGAAGCCAGTTTTTTCCTCACCCGGCACATGGTCAAAGACAGACAGGAAGACTCGCAAGATTTCATCGTGTGACCACGTGGATGGGCACACGTAGCCGCGGCGCATGGCGCTTGTCTTCAAGGCCGGCAGTGTGACCAGGTACACGGACTTGTTGCCCCCGACAACTTCACCAGCAGGCTCATCAACTGCGGAGAAGTCATGCAGAGGGTCATCTTCCCCCACCGCTTCGAACCCAAGCCATGTCTTGCGGCGGAGACGCCGCGTGGGCAGCAAGAGCTCGCAAGGCATGGTGGACAAGTCGACACTTGAGTCACTGGAGCAAAACGCTGCAGAGTGGCAAGCAACTTTAAAAGAGGCTAAAAGTGGGTGCGATGGACAAGTCCAGTTGTGGACGAGGAGCATTGCAAAACGCTGGGTGGCCCTTAGCATCCACCTTTCTGGGCTTGTCAGAATGCAGGTGCGAGACGCGCCGCGGGCCCACGCCTGGACAAGTCCAGTTGTGGACGAGCATTGCGAAACGCCTGGGTGGCCCTTAACATCCACCTTTCTGGGCTTGTCAGAATGCAGGTGCGAAACGCGCCGCGGGCCCACGCCTGGACAAGTCCAGTTGTGGACGAGCATTGCGAAACGCCTGGGTGGCCCTTAACATCCACCTTTCTGGGCTTGTCAGAATGCAGGTGCGAAACGCGCCGCGGGCCCACGCCTGGACAAGTCCAGTTGTGGACGAGCATTGCGAAACGCCTGGGTGGCCCTTAGCATCCACCTTTCTGGGCTTGTCAGAATGCACGTGCGAAACGCGCCGCGGGCCCACGCCTGGACAAGTCCAGTTGTGGACGAGCATTGCGAAACGCCTGGGTGTTAAAGGTGGGGCTGTGACGCTGTGATGAAGGCAGGGTAGCAGACAGTTTCAGTGTCAGACACGCTCAGACACGCGCGCGAAAGGACTCACGCACACATGCGCACAAACACCGGGGCGCAACACGCGCTCGTGCGGAAGTGCGTGGGTGCGTATACATACAGTGCACGCGCAGTGTACTCGCAGTGCACGCACAGTGCACGCTGCGTTGCACGGGGTCCAAAGTGTCGCCACTGCCATGTATTTTGCAAACCTGGTGCAGAATTCAAGAAACCTCTAATTTTCTTCTTGTTGTAAATCTGGAACAGAAAGCACCGATCCATGGGTATTTGCGGTGTTCTGTGACGGTGCACTGTGGCGTGCGCTGTGGAGTGCACTATGCGTGCACTGGAACACATGAGTAGCGTTTTTTTTGCCCCTCCATTACGTATGTAAAGGTACGGAATTTATTCTTTGACATTCTGAAGAAATGCGCGCCGCGCCACAGTCGCGGAAGCCCGCGGAAGCTTTGCGGAAGGGTTTTTTTCCGCGGAAGCTCGCGGAAGGGTTTACGGAGTATGTTTGTTTGTGCTGGCAGTGCAGCTTGTGGAACAAGCAAATATGAAGCAGCTTTGTTTTGATTGAGAGACTGAGGCATGCGTTTAGAAGACTAGAGAGAACACGTGGATTGCATGATTGTGTGCCCATTTGGGTCGTCAACTAGGGTCTGCTTAGAAGTTTTTATGTAGGGTGAGGCTTCCCGGGGGGTTCTAGGATCTGTTCTGTCCTTCTTACAACCAGCTTTGAGAGGTGGAGGCGCATGTGCGGAGGCAGAAAGGAAGGTTCGACATGTTCTTGCAAGTGTGTAATGCTGGGCCAGCCTCGTTTTGTCAAAAGCAGGTTTATTGTTTCGGCAAAGGCATGAGGGCTTACACCTTCGTGGTCCACAAGGGGGTAGACCAATGTACTAGCATGGATTTGCAAGCGAAGTTCAAGTTGGTGGTTAGCTTGCGTGGAAAGACATGTTTTTCGGGGATGTTGTTTTCCTATGGAAACCCCTGTCACGCGCCCAAGCCACCAAACTGGACAAGGGCGCTCAACTCCGTGCCATTGGCTTGTGTGGCCGGCCGCATGCTGGCACAGGGCTGCGCAACAGGCATCGGGCCACCCACGCTCATGGAACATAGTAACATATGTTATGGAAGAGCAGGCAAGAATAGGGCCAATGAGGATTCTCCTTTCTTTAAACTGCGGAGGGTTTGCAACTGTAGGTTACCTCCCTAGATATGTCGCCAATGTCCGCGCCAGAGCCTGAAGTTCCAAAGCTGTGTGCTGTCCGAGGGTGTATTGGGAAGTTGCTGCGGAAGGAAGCCCAGGGCACCATCCAGTTGCACTGCCTGGCGGCAGCTCATCATCGTGGGTGGCTGGTCCAAGATGATCGTGAGCTCAAGTGGGAGTTCAGCACCCGCGGGAAGCGTTGGCTGAAAGGAGAGGCAGTCCAAGCTCAACGGGGCGGCGCTCCTTTGGAGGCGAGAGGGATGCGAAGTAGGTTTGCCCAGGACTGTCCATCGGGCCAAGCTTTGTTTTCTTATTGACGGGAAACAAATTTGGCTTCACCTCTTAGACAACAAGGGCGTTGTTTGGGCTGGGTCTCGAGCTTCCCACACAATGTTCGGTTGTCGTTTCCATGCTCCTGGAGGCCAAGCAGAAGCCTTCAGAGCCAGACGGGGACGCTTCTTTGTTCGCACTGGTTGCTCCGCCTGGAAACCCTCAGTCTGGAGCTTCCAGGCTCGGACAGCATCATCTTTTGTTTGGGCTGTCGCCTATGTGTGTGTGTGTGTGCGGGGCCATTGCCCGGAATTGCTATCCTAGGTAGTGGAGGACCCAACTCTGGCGGCTCTTCAGGCGGACCCAGCCAACCCGCCAGCGGAGGTCGCAGAGACAACGAAGCCATTGGAGCCAGCGGAGCCAGCCGCGCAGCCCCTTCAAGCAGAACGCTCTTCCTCGGCATTACGCTCACACGCAGCGTCGTCCGCAGCGGCTGTTCCCAAGGTGGTGGAGAAGGAGGTCATGACCCCGGAGAAGGCCGCTGCTGCCGCGGTTCCAGAAGAGAAGCCGAAGCTCAACTTCGGTGGCAAGACGGAGCGCGTGGCCACATGCCGCCTTTGTGAAGAAGCTCGCACTTGGGCGCAAAAGGGGTCTTTTTGTGAGTACTGCACGGGTGCGTTCCGTCGTGCTACAGGCCACCAGCGCCTTCACATACTCTTTGAAGACCAGCATTTGGCAGAGTCCGTGCGACAGGAGAGTAAGACAAAGCGTGCTGAAGCTGAAAATGCTTCGCCGCCTAAGAAAGGGCTGGAAAAGAAGCTCGAGGAGTTCCTGCGCCGCTTCGAAGAGGTTCTGCCACAGTTGGAAGCAGCAGCTCGCCATTTTGAAAGTTTGTTGGAAGCCGGGCCGCCTGCGAAGAAGCGCAAGCATTGATCCTGGCTCATTTATAGATGTGCTTGTCTCAGGGTTTTATAGCCTTGTGGCTATGTTCTAGGGGATCTTCGGGGTACAAACTTGACAGGCCGTGGTGCGAGTCAAAAAAGGGACCCAGGATGTGCCAGCTAGCGGGGGAATCAAATACTTTTTTTTTCTGCGGGCCCTTTCTTACTATGGGCAAGTTTAAAGGGGTGCAAGAAGGTAAGAAGAAGAGTTTGCCCCCCCTAGCTTGTCACATGCCGAACATCGTTCAAGCGAGCTGCAGCTTGCAAGCAGCGCAGCAAGTCCAGCATGGGTCTTCATTTTCTGCAGCAAGCCGCAGTGTCATTCGCAGGCTGACGCCATTTCCGGCTTTAGCTTTTCACCCCAACCGGGTGTAGCGGTGCAGCCTCACAAAGTCAAACGACAAAGGTGCCCCTGCATTGATCAGGTTTTAATAAGCACTTGCAACCTGCAACAACACGAGCGCCTGCAACAACACTTGCATGTTCAGCCTGTGTGTGTGTGCGTACGCGTGCGTGCGTGTGAAAGAGAGACGTGTGCGTGTGTGTGTGTGTGTGCGTTTCAGGTAGCAGTAGGGAACCCAAAAACAGAATCCCAAACGCGGATTTTCGCGGAAGCGCCGCGGAAGCTTCGCGGAAGGCCCGCGGAAGGGGCCCCCGACCTTTCCCACCAGTTGCCCTTTCGTAGGCCGCCAACTCGACCACTCTCCACACAGCATGGGCGCAAAAGCGAAGCCATGGCGTGAGCTTGGCGCAAGGCAGCGCCGCATCGTCGCCAACGAAGCCTGCCGCCTCTTACTTCAACGCAGTCGTGACCCTGAGGATGTCCAAGAGATGTTCAACCTGAGGTGGTAGAGGAGCTTACGGCGAACTGCAGCGATCTCCGCTTGATCCTACAGCGGGATGCTGCCCAGGACACAGCCTGTGGCCTGCTACTAGAGCAGCTGGGGAAGCTACGAGCAACGGTCCCCGCCAGCACAAACCTTGACGTCCCCGTCATCACACTCACGCAGTTGGACTCTGCTGTCACCAAGGTACCCTTGCCGCAGGAGGCCCTCACCGCAGCCGGTTACACCCTGACCAAGCATAGCGCAGCTGCTGCCGCGGAAGGCCCAAAAAGTCAACAGCGCAAGCGAGGCCGCCGCACAAAGGTGAACAGTAGGAACAAGAAAATGGTCGTCGCCCAGCACTTGCGGAAGAAGCGCTACCGAGTCTTCCTTGAGGAGCCAGAGCTTCACGAGTCCATGTCGTGGTCCACCTTCCACTCCATCATGAAGCGACACTTCCCTCACGTGAAGAACCCCATGAGGCAGACGGACATTTGCGAGCACTGCAAGCATTTGGAGCGTCACTTGCTCCCAGCAGCTCAGAGGGCCTTGGCCAAGCACAGGCTTGAGATCGAAGAGTTCTCCCAGCAGTATTTCCACCCCTTCGACAGCAGCCCTGCGACAATTGAGAACAAGGAGAAGACTGACAAGTTCCCCTTGTTGGCCACTTCTTTGGCATTCGTGCAGCAACAGAACTTCAACGCCGCCAACTCCAGAGAAAGGCAAGCGCTTGGGCTTGCCACCCGACTTGCTCTCCACAGTGCTGAAGCGTCTGCCATCCACACCCTGAAGGGGCATGTGGAGCTGTTGGAAGCTTACCGCTGGCACCAAACCTCTGCAAGGCGGCAAGAAGCAGCGTTGGAACAGCTTGCTTCAGGGGAGTCGCTGCCTGCTTCCGCTGTCCTCCTGCAGATGGATTTCAAGGAGAACGTGAGATACCCGCTCAGTCGCCCAGCTTGTCTTAGCAGTTTTCTCTTAGGCAAAGTAAGCTCAGTCTGTCATGTGGCATGTTGCGTGTTTCCAATGGCCTCCCTAGCAAGGTGCGCAAGAGACAGGAGACGAGTGGCACGCGCAAAACAAACTGTCTCTCACCGTGTTTGGGGTCTTTGCGCGGGTGCCCACACGCACGGGAACACACGTGGACGTGTACCTCCTCTTGGTCTCGGAAGTTTTGGACCATGACGCTCAGGCCGCCAACATGTTGGTGAATGAGGCCATTGCTCTTCTTCGACGTCATCCTGGCACACACTGGCCTGCAGTCAAAAAGCTCATCCTTGCCAGTGATGTCGGACCGCACTTTCGGTCGTACGAAAACGCGGCCCATTTCTTGTGCACGCTCGTGCCTTTGCTGCAAGTGCTTCTACGCTATTTAACGATTTGCCTAAGGTCGTTTTGCTTTGTCTCATAGTTGCTTCCCTGCCTCTGTGACAGCGCTAGGTGAAAGTTCTCAACGTGGAAGTCGAAGTGCTCTACCTGGCTGAGCATCACGGAAAGGGAGCTTGCGATAGGCTCTTCGCTTGGACTCGCATGTGGGTGTCCCGGTTCATCCAGAAGCACCCTATTTACAACCTGCGGGATCTCACGCAGTGCTACCGAGAAGGCGCGGCTTCGAGGATAGCCGACGACCCGACCACGCCAGCCATCCTTGTCTCAAACTTCGACCCTGGCCGCTTCCGACCAACGAAGCGGAGCTTTCTGTCCGCCGCCACGCTCAAAATTTCACGAACCTACAGCCTGGTAGCCTTGGACCGTCATGCCGCGCCTGGTGTGCGCATCGTCAACCATGTTTTCACGGATTTGAGGCAAGGGTCGAGGGTCCTGCCCTGCCACGTGGATGAGGTGGTGTCGGAGGAGAAGGTGGAGTGGCGGCGCGGATACTACGACAAGCCGCGCTCCTGGGAGCAAGCAGGGCCGGAGCCAGGTGATGTTAACCACGTCACCCGGCGCTTTGCTGCGCAAAAGACCTTCCTCCCAGACAGAGAGGTTGCTCCAAAACGAAGCCTTGAAGAGAAAATGTCAGCCAAGGCCAAGCAGCTCAGCAAGCACGCTGCCAAGAAGAAGCGGGAGCTGGCGCACCTCAAACGTCGACTTCGTCCTGCCGAGGCTGAAGGCTCGTCCTCTTCTGCAAGTAGCAGCAGCAGTAGCTCCTCAACCTCCTCGGAGAAAGCCTAAGCGCTTTCCACCGCACGGTCGCGCTCTAGTGGAAAAGCGTCGCAGCCCGCGTCTTGCCGTGACGAACGCTTGCCAGTCGTCAGCAAAACCAACCGACAAGCAAGCAGGCAGGCAGGCGCGCAAGCAAGCGAGCAAGCAAGCAAGGGCCAGCAAGCAAGCGCGCAAGCAAACAAACAAACAAACAAACAAGCAAACAAGCAAGTAAGCAAGCAAACGCGGAAGCAGCAGGTTCGAAAACTATGCTGAGACTGTGGTCACGGAAGCGAAATGCTTCCGAATGTTGTAAACTCATGTCCGCGGAGGCTCGCGGAAGCGATTTTTCTAACAAAACGCTTCGCGGAAGGTACCCCTGCAGGCCGCGGAAGGGTTGGCGGAAGGTCGAATAATTTCAAATGAATTAGAAGGGAATAAAAAACACCACTCACATGTGTTTGCGCAATTGCAGGCCAACGAAAGCATGCAATCAGGCAGCTGGCAGGTGCATCTCTGTCATGGAACGTGTGCTGAAACCGTTGTTTCTTCAGCTCACTACTTCCGTGGCTGCAGGCCCTGTTACTTGCCCTCTTGAAAGAAGCCACCTTTGGCGGCCAAAACAAGCTGACACCGACGTTTCATGTCACCCATGCTAGCCCGAATAAATGCCGCTGGCAGCTTCTTGGCTGTTCGACGCAGCCGAGCAGCAAACTGTGCGCGGGTCTCTCGCTTGGAAGCCGCCCACTTCCGCTCTTGGCGGCGCATCCGGCGATTGATCTCGCTCCATATGGCATAATCCATAACACTCAAATCCGGGCTCCTGCGCGGGATTTCCAATACATCCAGGCGGGCAGCTCTCTTCGCCGCCACGCCTCGTTTGGACTTGAAGCCCGTCGGGTCATTGTCTTCCAGGATGCAGAATCGTCTTTTGGTGGGTCTTTCTCTCTGAAGGCTGGAAGCCAAACTGGTGTACATAGAAGCAGCAGCTATGCCATTCCAACGAGAATTCCGGACTTGATGCCACATGAGCATTCTACCACGGCCAACCCCAGCAACTATCAAAATGCTGCGGGCACCAGTGTTGTAATTCAGGGTGCCCTTAGGCTTCACATACCCTCTGTCCAGACCTTTGCCCTTCGCCCTGTAAGCGCCAACTGTTGCCCTTTTGGCAGCGCGGGCTCTGGCCTCCCCAGTAAGATTGGCCTTGAAGAATTTCCCATCAATTGCAGCATCAAGACGTTCTGCCCACCAGCTTACTGACTTGGACTTGTATTTGCGCGCAAATGCCAGCCGCGCTTTCACATCAGCATTTGTCAAAAGCGGTTTTTCTCGAAGTCTCCGAAAATACACTCCTTCCTTGTGCAAGGCCCGCTGGATGCTTTTGACTGACCGTTTCAAATTGCATGCTTTCTTCAACATGGCAGCAGTCACTGTGTAGCGAGCATCTGCCTTCTGCACCAATTCTGTGAGCTTTCGCTTCAAGAAAGCTACCTTGGCAGGAGTAAGCAGGAGAGGCCGCCCCTGGGCCTTGCGCCCAACTTGCTTCACCAAAAGCCGGGTGATTACAGACTTGTCCCTGCCAAGCTTGTCTGCTATTTCTTTACAGGATTCACCATCTTCATACCACTCCGACGCCAAACGAATCTCCTCAGTGGACAGCTTGGTCCAGCCAGCTTCTGGCATGGCTAACACAAGGACTGTTCAACTACACCAGCCAAACAGCTGTCAAGAACAGGAGCAACTCCTGCAAGGAGACACTTGCAGAGATGTGCGCTGCGTGTTGCACTTCTTCTGTCTTCCAGTGTGAGCGCGCACGCATGTGTGTGTGTGTGTATGTGTGCTCTCTGTGTGTCCGGCGCGCTCTCGTTCTACACAAAAACTTGACCAACCCCGACATGCGCGCACACACACACACACAAATGGCAGACGAGTGAAGGTGGGAGACTCAGATGTGTTGTGTTTCAGGCTCTTCAATCATTTGGAGAAGCATGTGGGTGACAAGCAGACGCAGACATTTTGTTTTTCAGGATCTCTGTCTCATTGGAGAAACATGTGGATGACAAGCAAAAAGCTCTCCGTGAGACGGTGGGTGGACAGAATCCTGCACCACCATCGCAGCATTGGGTTGCACGCCCTCGCGCTCCCTTTTTAATATTGGGGGCTGAAAACACGCTGAAGGAAAAGAAGTTGAATGGACGAAATCCTGCACCACCTTTACAGCCCATCAAAGCAACATTGAATATGGGGAGCGGGGGGTCCTTCTACACCCTTGTTTAACTCGTTGATTTAAGTGGTGCAGGATTTCGTCCACCCACAGTATCATCAATAGTTATAAGTTATGATACATGTCTATCTAGCATATGTATTTTCTGTGTCTAGCAAGTGCTTGGCAAGTGTGCTATGTTTATGTGTAGGATGGTGTGCATGGAGCTGGCATATGTCCGGTGTGCTATTGGCAGATTACACTGTGTCTAGCATGACAAACGTGTCTAATTCAACTCCATTCTATGTTTGCTGTTGGCCCGACAAGTGGCCCCAGCCGCTGGTTTAGCATGACGCGAGTGTATGGCTAGCGTATATTGAGCTATTGTTTCCTGACATGTTCAGTTTCTTGGCGTACGTATCTAGTGCATGTATGCCTACTATGCTTAGAATGTATTGAGCGTTTACCATATGTTGATCACATGTCTGGCATGTTTTTATGCACGTCCCTAGAATATGATTAGCATGTTTCAGGCAGTTCTTCACATTCTATTCATGTTTGGGTTGTCCTGCATTGACATTCACATAATCCTATTATGTGTCTATCATGACCGCCAGCATATGTGTGGAATGCGTCTACCTGGAATTTCAATCAACAGCATATTCCAGGACCTGGCAAGGGCATGGCATGGGATGTGCAATACCTTGCTGCTGGCGTGTTGTCTCGTTGCCCCGGTCTCAATGTGCAAATTCCTGAGACAACCAACCGATTTCATCAAAAAACGACATGGCAGTGCAAGACCTACTGGGTCATAGGCTGTGCAATGGGCGACTGTTGGCAAGACGACGGCGAGATATTGGACAGCAAACAATACCACGATTGAAGGACCTTGGGATATGAGCTGCGCAATCGTGTTGTTTATGCTTTGCAGGAAGCGGTTGTTATCTTCCATAACTGCAAAAGCCAAGCCAAGAAAGCCCCGCCAACGGGGGCATGGCACAAGTGAAGTTGTTCTTTCCTTCTGTTTGAAAGGCCCATGTGGGATTTCATTTAAATCCAACGAACCCCATTTTAGAGGAGTTGACGGTTGACACTAAAAGGACTGCATTGGGTTCCATCGCACCCAAGGAGCTTGGAGTGCCTTCTGCGGGTGTCTCGTGCCTTTGTAAAGTTTCCCAAAGAGCGCCGGGGCTCCGAGACCGTGCGCGGAGGCGGGCTGAAATTTGTGAAGCCGTCAAGCCGTTCTGGACCCGTTTTTTTGAACAGCGTGTTGGTTTTTCCGGGATTTTCGCTTTGCTGAAGTCCTGTAATAGTGTGTAAACGTCCAAGTTGGAGTGAGCAAAGTGGCCGGAAAGTCAACACCCGCTTACCAGACTAATCTCAAGTGTATGAAAGTGTGGAACATGACATGCGGCTGACTGATATGAGGCTTCTGAACGGGCCAGAAAGTCTGACAGACTTCGAGTGATAGCATCATCACAGCGCTAAACAAGTGGCGGTACCTGCCCAGTGTCTTCATACTTTGTGTTTGCAAGTGGTGAAGGGGGCCACCCAAAGGAAAGGTCGTGACTCGCGATCCTTGAGAGTCCTTCATGGCGCGTGAGAGTGATTCACACGACACGTTCGGGGCTGTGAAGTTCAAGAGACCAATCGAATTCTGTACCGAAGCCCGTTCCGGGGCCAGCGAGCAACTGACACTATTCGCATCGATTGCCGGTTGCATCTGATTTGTGAAGGACATGGGCAGCCCAACGAGGAAGCCACAATACTTTGTGTGACTCAAGTTAACTTTGGATGCACTGCGAGACCGCTCTCAGAGGGATCTCTCTACTTCCAAAATAGAGTTTCCTCCACCTGGTGCTTTTCTACCTCCGATTCCACAAGTGATTCTCAAAGCATCCTTTCTGACGCAAGCTTCCTAGGCCCAGAGCGCTTGGTCAAGGCTGCGCTGTCGCGGCTTTGCAGAGCAACCTATTTGGAGGGATATGCGGCGAGCTCAAGATGTCCCACAAAAACCAAGGCACGAGCCCCCAATATTTTGCTGTGTCCTCTTGGGGAAACATACAATGAAGACAATGACCGTGGCTCATATACAAATGGACTTTGTGGCGAGCTCACCATCCGGGGTCAAACGAGCGTGGCCCAGGGGGTCTTGGGATGAGCAGAATGGGTCTTCGGAGTCAGCATGGCTTTACTGGACAGAATATTTATGACTCTTATGATCAGCACAGCAGCGACCTGGAGTGGCAGCCTCGCTATGTCGGTGTACTCTGCTGCTTGCTAGGGATGCTGGAGGAAAGCGACCCAGGTCCCTGCGAACGACATCCTGGAGTCAGCCTGTGCAGGTCTATATTCCACAGACAAAGCCACCAGGGTAGTGTTGGTGAAGCAGGTTTGTGCAAGCAAAATACAAGGATGAGGATGTTCACAGAAATCACGGATGCGTTGAACAAATCCGTAGGCTACGCAATGTATTTTGATCACTCCTCATGATTAAAACAAACTCACGTGACATGAGCAAGTCGGACTGCATGTTACACTGTTGTGCAGCAACACGTCTCAAAACATGTATTTATGAATACGACCAAGTTCACACCTTTTTCTAACTACATGGAAACTACATAGATTCAGAGCAAAACCTACTAATTACAAAGCCAACATAGACCAGCTACCCAGTCAGTGGGCCCTCCGGGCTCCGTTTTTTGTTTGCTCCCCCACTCAACATGTGCAACTGGGGCTAGCTGCACGGGAGGTTTGTGAAGGCACTCCGCGCGTTCCGTCAGCTGCTAGCTTCCGAGCCGCACTAGTTCAACCCACCCTTGAGCCCTTCAGCCTGTAGCATGGTCGGAGAGACTTTGCCAGGACTGCCGGGGAGTTGGGGGGGGCGGGGTTGATTCACTATAGAAATATTGCAGGGGACAGGAGAAACCCTGTCAGCCACGGCTTGTATTTGGTTTGACAGGCCGTAGTTGGTGTTTCTACTGTGGTGTCTCTCGACAGTTCAAGCACGTTCAGATCAAATCTAGCACCAACTTTTGAGTCGTGAGTAAACCAGCTTTGCCAATAGTAACTTGGTGAGCGTGGGACATGTTATCACCTTCCCTACAGTGCCCGGCTACTGTCGGCGACTGTCGGTCCTTCAGAGGCCGGTTCCACGACAGTCTCTGTCTTGCACATGTTTTTTCAGGGTGCCCCGCTTTTCGGGTTCAGAGAGAAGGCCAACCACCTGTTTTGGAAGTTACCAAGCCATATCCAGCGCGGAATGGGTAGTCTAGTTTCAGTGGCATGACTGGGCATCCCAGGCGCAGATGTGGTGCAATATGCGTATTCTTTGCGGGTACATTTTGCAGGTTGGTTTAAGGGGAGCCAAAAAGAAAGCCATCATGTTGATTGTTCCATAATTTGACACATAACCCTTTACTCGGGTTGGTAGGGATGGTTCTTTGTGCATAAATTAGACAACCAATTGAGGTCCTATCAAAAAAACAACTATGACCCACACATGGAGTTTTCATCTTTGCACATGTGTGATCCTTCTGGTCAAGATCACCCACCAGCGGGAAGCCTAAAACCATCGAAATATTGAGTTGACAGCCATCTTTTGAAACGACCCTTTCAGATTTCAAGGTCTTGAAGTTTGTCCGTATAATTATGCTTAGAAGAACCTGTTGGCCAGTTCAGCAACTTTGGTTTGCTGAATGGCAGAATCTTGGAACAGAGCAAGGCTTCTATGCTTCAACGTGCAGACGACAAGTCTAAACCGCGAACCTTTGCAGTCATGGGAAATCAACACATGAATGTCAACCATGTGGATAACCTGCTGGATAGGTTCCCAAAACTGAATCCTTCAGCCCCGGTTTTCCCTTTTTGGCGAAGGTGAGTCCGCGAAGTTCCCCGAAGCTTAGGGCGCCTTTTCCCTTGGGAGCGGTCGATCAGGAGGCCAGGGAGCTCTCAGTGTGGGAAGCCCCTGCCTCGGAAACCGAACGACGGGCCCGGGCTGTTGTAGGAGGTATCAGTATGGTGTATGTGTATATATGAGCCGCGGACAAAACACACGAAGACCACTTTATCAAGGCGGGGTACGTTTTTGCATAACACATGCCAAAACCATGGAAAACGATAAGGTCTCCCCCAAAAACGATAACCCTTAGCTAACACACGGCTCTATAATAATCCCTGCAGTTGCAACTTAGCTAGGGTGGGACCCGTGCGTGGCCACCGTAAAACGAGAAGGCAAGTCGCCACTTTCGAGCTGGAGCTGCCAAGGTGTGCTTCGTAAATACGACACTTGTACTGAGAAGTTGCGATTTTCGAGCTGGAGCTGCGGAAGCGTACTTTGCGTACTAGACTTGTACTACAAAGTTGCGATTTTCGAGCTGGAGATGCGGAAGTGTACTTCTCGTACTAGACTTGTACTACAAAGTTGCGATTTTCGAGCTGAAATTCGCAAATGTACTTCGCGTACTAGACTTGTACTACAAAGTTGCGATTTTCGAGCTGGAGCTGCGAAGTGTACTTCGCGCACTAGACTTGTACTACAAAGTTGCGATTTTCGAGCTGGAGATGCGGAAGTGTACTTCGCTTACTAGACTTGTACTACAAAGTTGCGATTTTCGAGCTGGAGATGCGGAAGTGTACTTCGCGTACTAGACTTGTACTACAAAGTTGCGATTTTCGAGCTGGAGCTGCGGAAGTGTACTTCGCGTACTAGACTTGTACTACAAAGTTGCCATTTTCGAGCTGGAGCTGCGGAAGTGTACTTCGCGTACTAGGATTGCACTACGAAGTTGCGATTTTCGAGCTGGAGCTGCGGAAGTGTACTTCGCGTACTAGAGTTGTGCTACAAAGTCGCGATTTTCGAGCTGGAGCTGCGGAAGTGTACTTCGCGCACTAGACTTGTACTACAAAGTTACGTTTTTGGAAGTGTACTTCCCGTACTAGACTTGTACTACAAAGTTTCGATTTTCGAGCTGGAGCGGCGGAAGTTTACTTCGCGTACTAGACTTGTACTACAAAGTTGCGATATTCGAGCTGGAGCTGCGGAAGTGTACTTCGTGTACTAGACTTGTACTACAAAGTTGCGATTTTCGAGCTGGAGCTGCGGAAGTGTACTTTGCGCACTAGACTTGTACTACAGAGTTGCGATTTTCGAGCTGGAGATGCGGAAGTGTACTTTGCTTACTAGACTTGTACTACAAAGTTGCGATTTTCGAGCTGGAGCTGCGGAAGTGTACTTTGCGTACTAGACTTGTACTACAAAGTCGCGATTTTCGAGCTGGAGATGCGGAAGTGTACTTCGAGTACTAGACTTGTACTACAAAGTTGCGATTTTCGAGCTGGAGCTGCGGAAGTGTAGTTCGCGTACTAGACTTGTACTACAAAGTTGACGATTTTCGAGCTGGAGGAAGTGTGTACTAGACTTGTACTACAAAGTTGCGATTTTCGAGCTGGAGCTGCGGAAGTGTACTTCGCGTACTAGACTTGTACTACAAAGTTGCGATTTTCGAGCTGGAGCTGCGGAAGTGTACTTCGCGTACTAGACTTGTACTACAAAGTTGCGATTTTCGAGCTGGAGATGCGGAAGTGTACTTCGCGTACTAGACTTGTACTACAAAGTTGCGATTTTCGAGCTGGAGCTGCGGAAGTGTACTTCGCGTACTAGACTTGTACTACAAAGTTGCGATTTTCGAGCTGGAGCTGCGAAGTGCGGCGTACTAGTGTATTTTCGAGCTTGCGCTTCGCGTACTAGACTTGTACTACAAAGTTTTCGAGTGCGGAAGTGTACTTCGCGTACTAGACTTGTCAAAGTTGCGATTTTCGAGCTGGAGCTGCGGAAGTGTACTTCGCGTACTAGACTTGTACTACAAAGTTGCGATTTTCGAGCTGGAGATGCGGAAGTGTACTTCGCGTACTAGACTTGTACTACAAAGTTGCGATTTTCGAGCTGGAGATGCGGAAGTGTACTTCGCGTACTAGACTTGTACTACAAAGTTGCGATTTTCGAGCTGGAGCTGCGGAAGATTTTCGAGCTGGAGGTGCGCAAGTGTACTTCGCGTACTAGACTTGTACTACAAAGTTGCGATTTTCGAGCTGGAGCTGCGGAAGTGTACTTCGCGTACTAGACTTGTACTACAAAGTTGCGATTTTCGAGCTGGAGATGCGGAAGTGTACTTCGCGTACTAGACTTGTACTACAAAGTTGCGATTTTCGAGCTGGAGATGCGGAAGTGTACTTCGCGTACTAGACTTGTACTACAAAGTTGCGATTTTCGAGCTGGAGCTGCGGAAGTGTACTTCGCGTACTAGACTTGTACTACAAAGTTGCGATTTTCGAGCTGGAGATGCGGAAGTGTACTTCGCGTACTAGACTTGTACTACAAAGTTGCGATTTTCGAGCTGGAGCTGCGGAAGTGTACTTCGCGTACTAGACTTGTACTACAAAGTTGCGATTTTCGAGCTGGAGATGCGGAAGTGTACTTCGCGTACTAGACTTGTACTACAAAGTTGCGATTTTCGAGCTGGAGCTGCGGAAGTGTACTTCGCGTACTAGACTTGTACTACAAAGTTGCGATTTTCGAGCTGGAGCTGCGGAAGTGTACTTCGCGTACTAGACTTGTACTACAAAGTCGCGAATTTCGAGCAGGATGTGCCAAAGTTCGAAAACACTGTAAAACGATAAGGTCTCCCTCAAAAACGATAACGTTCAAAAAAGTACTAGGGCCAAGTAAAGTGTTTCGTCCGCTCCTCATATATATATATGTGTACACTGATATATGTATACCTATACATATATGTAGATATGTATAAATATATACACATATATATATATATATTATGTTTCTATCTAGGTGTAGATATATATATATATATATGGTCACCCCCCCCAGGGCCTACCTTTCTACTTTTTGCATGAAAGAGATTTATTTGCAGATGTTCAGTGTCCACTTGGTTTGCAGATGCCTTGCAGAAAGCACTGTAATTTACGGTGTTTTGGTGCAATTTTTGATATTGTCTCAGATGTGCTTTCTGTACTTGATGCAAAACAGGATTCGAGAAAGCAACACACACGAAAACGGAAAGCGTTTTCAGATGCAACTTTGTCAGTAGTGAAATCACTGTTATTTGCAGTGTTGTTTAAGGAAACTGCAAAAACAGCTCTTTTTTTAACGTTTTTTGATGGGTTCAGCCTCAAAACCTGCACAAGCTCAAAAAAATGCCAAAAAAACAAAAAACTGGAAGCTCCAAAACCTGCACAGGCTCAAAAAATGCAAAACATGCAAAACCCAGATGCAATGTTAGAGGTCAGGGCTTGATTGGTCTGGATTTTTGCATTTTTTGCATTTGTTTGAGCCTGTGCAGGTTTTGGAGCCTTGGGTGCTTAAAACCTGCACAGGCTCAAAAAATGCAAAAAATCCAAACCTGGAAGCTCCAAAACCTGCACAGGCTCCAAAAAATGCAAAAAATGCAAAACCCAGATGCAAGTCAGAGGTCAGGGCTTGGTTGGTCTGGATTTTTGCATTTTTTGCATTTGTTTGAGCCTGTGCAGGTTTTGAGGCTTCCTGGTTTGGATTTTTTGCATTTTTTTGAGCCTGTGCAGGTTTTGGAGCCTTGGGTGCTTAAAACCTGCACAGGCTCAAAAAATGCAAAAAATCCAAACCTGGAAGCTCCAAAACCTGCACAGGCTCAAAAAATGCAAAAAAATGCAAAGCCCAGATGCAAGTCAGAGGTCAGGGCTTGATTGGTCTGGATTTTTGCATTTTTGCATTTTTTGAGCCTGTGCAGGTTTTGAGGCTTCCTGGTTTGGATTGTTGGCATTTTTTGAGCCTGTGCAGGTTTTGGAGCCTTGGGCGCTTAAAACCTGCACAGGCTCAAACAAATCCAAAAAACAAATCCTTTACTTGTTTCTGAAGAATGGAAGACAGATTGTAACTTGATCCGGGAAGATGATGTGCTTCAGGAGGAAGTGCTGCCCATTAGGAAGAGGAAGAACACTAAGTTGAAGACCATATGACATACCAGGAGAAGTCTTCAAGCGAAAGGGCGCCGGCATGTCCGCAAGGCGGCCATCCTTAGCCGCGCTGCTGACTTGAGATTGCAAAGTAGCATCGAAGGCTATAGGGCCAACAAAGTCGAAGAAGTGCTTTGCCTTGCTCTTGTCCTGGGGATGATCAAGAGGAAGGTCAGTAGGCGAGACAGGACCACGAGGCAAGTCCACGACATTGGGCTTGGACAAGTTCTTGAAGAAGAGTGCGTTGGTGGCATTCAGGGCCGTTTCCAGAGAGATTTCACTGGCTTCTGACATCATAGCTACAAGAAAAAAAGAGATACTTTGAATGACCTGGTTTGAGCTTCTAGCAGCAGAGTAATATATAAAGGAAACTGTGTATAACATCAAAGCGAAAAATGTACATATATATATATATATATGTATGTAGTGTGTCCTCCCCCAAAGCTGCTTTTTCATCAGGTAGAAATCTTAAATGCAAAACACACAACCAGGCGCATCAGAGCACACGCCAAAGACTAATGGTTGATTGCATGCAAAATGCAGCCAGAGTCCATTTCATTTCAGGGGAAGCACGAACCCAGCATCAGGATGTTTATAAAAGCCAATGGCTGGAAGGCTGTAAGTATGACCCCCGACTAAATCTCGTTCCATGGCATCCGTGGCATCCATGGCGGCCATTTGCTTGAACGTGCGTGCAGATTGTTGACCCATGCTCAATTGGCGAGCCGCTGGTTGTAAATGTTCAACTCGGGGCCAATAATGGCCCTGGGTTTTGAAGATAGATCCTATTGGACAAGGTTTGGTTCTGCGTTTTCAAAATTGGGAGGTCTCATTCTTGGCTCCTTTGGCTTGTAGCTACTCGGATTCAACAAAATGCTTTTATTCCCCCCTTTCATCCATAATCCTTTTTTTTTTTTTGTTCTAGTGTCCTTCCTGACTTTACATGTAATTAGCGC